TTTCCTATTTTCTTGTTACGATTAAGGGAATATGACTTATTAATATATTAATGTCTTCGGTACGTTCATATGTGGGTAACTATCTTTTTTTGTACATATCTAGGTAACAAACTTGTTGTAAGTGTTCACATATGACCATTATGACCTTCTATAGAAGGTTAAATCCTAGATGTGAACGTTTTCAATAAGTTCGTTATTTAAATGTGTAAAAAAATAGTTACTCAAATATGAAAAAAACGAAAAGTAAAAATTAAATTACACGAATGGTCCCTATGGTTTGGGGGAATTTGTGTTTTTAGTCTCTAACTTATTTTTTTAAACTTCTACTGTTTATTTTTGTTGTGCGTTTAGTCCATATCTTACCTAAAAAGACTATTATACCCTTATTAATTTATTTTTTAACTAATTTCTTATTTATGTATTTATTTTTTACATATTAAAAAAAATTAATAGACCACACATATTTGTATCTCTTCGATGATCCCTACTGTTTATTTCGGATGGTCCCTACTGTTTACTTTTGTTACGCATTTGGTCTCTGTTTTATCTAAAAAAAACTATTTTCCTTTAATTTTTTTTAATTAATTTTCTTATTTATGTATTATATTTTTCTATATATTTAAAAAACTTAATATACCCACATATATGTTCTCCTCACCGTAAACCTGAAACCACATTTGAGAAATTTAATTTGGGCCTTATCGGTAACTATCTCATCACTCATCCTTCCCATTTTCTTTTCTTTTCCATCTTTAGTAACATCGACGTTAAAAAAATAAGTTAGGGACCAAAAACACAAATTAGTATTTTTAGGCACAATAGTATTTTTAGGTAAGACAGTGACTAAACGCGCAACAAAAATAAATAGTAGGGACCATCCAAGTTAAAAAATAAGTTAGGACCAAAAACACAAATTCCCCCAAACACAGGGACCATTCGTGTAATTTAATTTTTACTTTTCGTTTGTTCAATATTATGTAACTATTTTTTTATACACATCTAGGTAGGGGTGGAATTGGTACGGTACCAATTCCTTTTCACCGTACCAACTATAATTGATATAAAAAATGGCTACCGGTACCATACCAAGTATACTTGGTATCAATTTATTTGACTACCAATAAGTTTGGTTGGTACAAATTGGTAATGGTATATACCAACTTCTTTTAATTTTCTATTGTAAAATTTAATAATAAGCAAAGACATCGGGTTTTGATGTGCCGTAAATGCAAATCACCTGTATGCTGGGCCAAAGTGGGGGACAACACAACTAGCAAGAGGACAAGCAACAAACCACACGCTCACTGGACCAGAAATCATAAGGGAAACTACGGAGAAGATTGTTCAGATCCGGGAACGCCTGAAGGCGTCAAGGGACAGACAAAAGAGTTACGCGGATAAAAGACGAAAACCCTTGGAATTCCAGGTTGGAGATCGAGTCCTACTAAAAGTCTCGCCCTGGAAGGGGTTAATACGCTTCAGAAAGCGTGGGAAACTAAACCAAGATACATCGGACCATTCGAGATCCTTGCCAGGATCGGTCCAGTGGCGTACAAACTTCGATTACCTCAGGAGCTCCACAACGTACACCCTACCTTTCACGTATCAAACCTAAAGAAGTGCTGTCCGATGAGACCCGTGTCATCCCGCTAGACGGAAATTGCAATAAATGATAATCTCCAATTCGTGGAAGAACCAGTAGAGATCATGGACCGGGAAATAAAAAGGACTAAACAAGTCGCATACCTATTGTAAAGGTCCGCTGGAACGCCAAGCGAGGACCTGAATACACCTGGGAACGCGAGGATCAGATAAAACAAAAGTATCCGCACCTTTTTCCTAAACCTGTAAACTCTATCTTAGATTAAATTCCGGACGAAATTCCCCTAACGGAGGATGATGTGACAACCCGATATTTTCCAAAAGCAGTGTAACGCTCAAAAGTCAAATACAACAAAAATTATTTGGAGTCAATTAAATTAACCTCAAAAATAAAGTGTTCAAATATCAGTTGGGATACATCAAATTTTAGATATCGTGCAAAGGTTTCCAAAAACATAAAGAGCGTTCAAAACCGGGTTATATTGAAGAAATTATAACCACTCGTATATTTACGACACACCGTTAAAACGCTATTTAACGTAAAAAGTGAACAAAAAAAAATTTTAGCCTTAAGTCTAAACAAAAGATGTAGAGTTCGTTAGACTGTAAACATACATAAAAAGATCGCCCAATTGGACCTCGTATGAAGAAGTTACGAATTTCCTAAGTTTGTAACAGTAGTAGAGGGCTAAAAACTCGAATTGAAGATTGAGTGTTATTTAGCTATCGCCACCTAAACGGAAGTTGAAGATCTCACAATAGTAATAAAATGATAAAAAGACAAACAAAAACCGACGTCGAATAAAGAAACTATGAATTTTTAACGGACTTTAGTAGTCCCGGCCTATTAACAATATATCATTAAAAATAAAGTCAAAACTAGCCGACGGAGTCTAAATGAAAGTTGTAGAGCATAATCTCACCTACGCGTGGATATAAAGAACGCGAAAAACGGAGCCTGTACGAAAAGTTACGGAATTTAGAAAATGGAAGACTGGATTACGCCCCGCGTAATCCAGAGTACGCCCCGCGTACTAGACCCAGTGTCAAGTCCCATCGACTCGAGTGCTCTACGCTAGCTAGACCAGAGTTGTAAGCCGTGATGCATTTTTACGCCCCGCGTAACCAAATACGCCCCGTGTACTGGGTACACCCAGTACTCCAGTAGTACGCCCGCGTACGAGGATCCTCCAGCCTATAAATAGAAAGGTTGAGCTTCGGGTTTTTGCACACAATTCTCAGATCCTCTCACTTTTACACACCCTAGAGCTCCAGAGACCATCCCGACACCTCGGTTTCCGTACCCGAGCCCCCGACGAAAGATCTACGCTACCGAGATCCCCGAAGAGCCCGAAGACGCAGCTTTCCGCGATCAAAGTTCTGCTCAACTTTAGCCTCTCTCTCTTTGAACCAAACGAGTGAGTTCATACCCCTACCATTCAATTCTTTTCATGTTTTAGGGGGGAATACAAGTACATTACACGCTTAAAGTATCATTTTATAAACATAAATGTAATGTCTATCTTTGAATCGATACAAACATCTTTATGTATAAAGGGCTATTATATCACCAAGTTATTTTCACCAAATGGAACATACTTTCTGAAAAACTATAATGGGTATAGTTAATGAGTCAAGTACATTTTACATATACATACATTTTACATATATATCTTGAAAATGAAACACTTTCAAAAGAAGTAAAGTCATTCTTATTGTAAATCTATTTATACTAAGCAATGTGAGGTATTCAAACTTCAACGTACACTTATGTATGCATTTCAAGTCCTGTATTATATACCATAATCTCTTGGAGGGAGAGCGTGATACTTGTGTATAGATCTATACGGGATTGACAATCCCGCACCTAAACTATTAGCTATAGTTAGACCGGCAGGTCTGGGGTGACAAATGTCATAACACTACAACACCTGAAGAATGTTGTTACAGGCATTCAGAGTTAATAGTATGCTTATAAAACTCACATAAAAAGTATAAAAACAAGTTTGATTTACGAGATTCATATATGCATTACAGTTTTCTACATTATATTTCATACAAAGTTATCTTTATCATTCAAGTACGAAAAATACTAACGCATTCCAACTCTGGAAAC